AGGAGATGCAGAGAACAGGGACAGATGGAAATCAATCATTTGCTGGAGCAACTCCTGAAAAAAGTTGAAAAAACATTTTTCAAAAAGAAATTTTTCAAAAACATTTTTTTCAAAAAAGAAATTTTCAAAAAAATTTTTTCAAAAAAAATTTTTTCCAAATTTTTTTTGAAACAAAACTTTTCAAAAAAAAATTTTTCAAAAAAATTTTTTCTAAGTTTTTTCAAAATGTTTTAAAAAAAAATTCAAAAAAAAAAACAACTCCTGAAAAAAGTTGAAAAAAAATTTTTCAAAAAGAAATTTTTCAAAAACAATTTTTTCAAAAAAGAAATTTTCAAAAAACAATTTCGAAAAAAATTTTTTTCAAAAAACAATTTTTCAAAAAAAAATTTCGAAAAAAAAAATTGTTTTCATTTTCCCTAATAAAGTCAATGGTGAAGAAAACGTAGCTGATGAGATCAGAAATTCACAGTCACTGAAATGAAATGAACCTTAACAAATGCTGGAGTGAAGAGTTTTCAGACCGCACATTTTCCAGGCTGACTTTGGTGATGTCATCGACACCTTATACTAAAACCAATCTTCTTCAGATTAGCTGAACTCTCTCTAACTCTAACTCTGACTGGAGATCATGATCATCAAACAGCGTTGGTCCTTCAACCAACGCTGTCTTAACTGAGCTACGAGTCCCAGAAACCCGTTCTAAAGTTGTTGGTTTTAACATCGGTAAAACTTACAAGTGAAAGGTCTCGTTGAATTTAGGAGACCAGCTGTTGTTCTTGGACTTGGTCTGGAATCTACGCTTCTTGTCGCTGAGCTGAGGCCCGATCATGGTGATCTCCACGAAGGGTCTGAACATCCCAGACGTCTGCCACTTCAAGTCACTGGCTCCCATGACTGTAGGGGTGAGCGGTGAGAGCGGGAGCAGGAGGGGGAGGCAGAGGAGGAGTCAGAGGAGGAACATGAAACATCACGGACGGAGGCTCATTACTGTGAACCGTCAAACTGACCTTTGACCGTGACCTTTCTCTCTTTGTTCCCAGGAGGAGTGAACATCTCCAACTGAACGCACACCTCCCCGATCTGCTTCTCCAATCCTGAACCTATGGTTCGTTCGCACACATCAAAACGTCAGGTCGCGTTTCAGCAACAACAAAAGTGATAAAAAAAACATTTACGAAAGATAGGGAGGAGAGGGGGAGGAGGAGAGGGGGAGTGAGGGGTGACTGAGCCACAAGGGTGAAACATGTGGTGATTATAGCGACACCTACCCCTGCTGGGCTGTATTTTCTCACTGGGTGTTAACCTTATACCCTTCCCATCATGCACTGGTGCAAAGGCCACGTGGATGAAGAGAGAAGAAGACAGCAGCAACGTGAACATCAGTTCAACAAAACTAAATAAAAAATGACTGTGTGTCTGTTAGCGCCCTCATGTGGTCAACACAGGATATTTCAAACCAGCACCTTGTGTGTGTTGAGTTGTGACAAAGGTCTTGATGAGTGTGTCGGTGGTCTGAGTGTAGAGGGACAGAGCGTGACGGAGGGACGACAGCTCGGGACTTTTCTCCAGGAACGCCTTCTTCAGACCGTTTCCTCCAGCGTGGAAATATTGCTGCGAAAAACAAAACATGTCACATGACTCAGCAGCTGAGTGGAAATAAAATCTGAATGATTAAATTCAACATTTTCACTTTCAACACATCTGATTTAGGTCTAATATCAGAAAAAAGTCATTTAATAATTAGGTCTGAGACTTCTGTCTTTGTTCAAGGTGATACAAACACTCCAGACCATTAGGTGGCAGTAATTCACCAACATTTTTTTCAACTTTACCGGCATGTCTGTTCATTAATTCAAACAAAATGATTTGTTTTGAAAAACTTTTGTTGTTCAATTCAATTGCACTATTGTGTCATTTACAAAGCCTCTAATCAGTTAGAATAAATTAGTACCCTTGTTCACCACTAGGGATGTAACGATGCATTGTGAATCGGTTAAACATCGATAGAAATTCGGTTAAAATAAAAAATTAATTGTGCATCGTAAGAAGTAGACTGTCAAAAAGTCACTGGTCAGACCATGACACTACACACTCTAGTCCAGTAGGTGGCGCTATTTGCCTAAAAACATTGGTTTTTAGGCGCTAATAAACCCAGATGTCAGGTCCCTACGTAGGCTAAGAGACGTTCAGGTGTCGGAACAGAACGTGGTCTCCACTTCCACCACCAGTGTTCTCCAGTGTTCCTGTAAAGAAGTAGAGTTCCTGTGAAGAAAGGAACTCTTTCTCCACTTCCTGTTGTTGTTGTTGTTGTTGGTTTGTTGTCTCACCTTGATGGTGTCCAGAGCCACGTCCATGACAGCACACTGTCTGGGCGTCAGGCTTTTAGCCTCTCCTGCCATGTGGTCCTGGTCAGAACAGACAGTTAGTCAGTTCCAGTAATCAGTGAATCTGTGTCGGAGCTTTAGTTCCCGGTCGATTTAATACCTTCAGTTTGGACAGTTGACCAAGTTCTTTAGCCGCCGACAGGATCTGTGCTCCCTGAGGACAGAGACAAAGACACATCACCTGACTGAACCACTCTTCAAAGTCAACAAACGGCTCAGGTTTGAAACTCACAAACGTGTCGCTGCCCTTGGGCAGCACGATGCTCTTCTCCAGGCTGCTCATCACGATCCTCCACAGCTCCTTCAGCACTCGTTTGAGCACAGTCTTCTCACAAACTGTAGCAAACAGCGTCAGCCTGTGGGAACGCACACAACGTTAGCGTCCATTAAAACACTTTCATTTCTTATGGCCGACTGTAGGTGTCGTCGTTGTTAAATCATTTATTGGTTAAATTGTTAATTTGTCTCTCCATGTTCCAGGCTAACCTTTAATTACGTGTAACAGTATTTTTGTCCGATGTTCGGTCCTCTCCTTCTCCAGCTAAGCTAGCACCACTTCTGTGCTCAGGCTAATTCTGTCTATTTCCAGATAGACTCTGCTACTGTATCTTATAGCAATACGAAGCTATTCTTGGGTCTTGGACCCTTAGCTTCATTAGCTTAC